TTTGTTTCTGTGTGTCTGTCTCTCCCTCCCTCTCTGTGTCTCTCTCAACCTTTGTTGGACTGGTGCACAAAAACGGCATCAGTCTGTGCCTACCCAGCCCACGTAGCACGTAGCTGAATTGTACACATGTTCCTAAGGGAAATGTTGATTGACAAAGGAGAGTTGGGCACACTCTGTTGAGGTCGAAACCTTTGTTTGGCTGCTACACTCTGTTGAGGTCGAAACCTTTGTTTAGCTGCTACACTCAAATGACATCAGACCGTGCCTACCCAGTCCATGTGGCGCAATGGTATACACATGTAATTTTTTCGTAAACAATGTAAAGTCATCAGAAAATGAGTTCAAAATTCAAATCCCGACGCTCCTGGAATCAGACGAACAAGAGAATAATGGGAGGGGACACCTGCGTCTGCTTTATAAGGGGGGTGGGGGGACAAAGGGCATTGCTGTTATATTCGGTTGGGGGTGGGGGATGATGAAAAGGGAGGTGCAGCTACTGGCAAAATGCTCGGTCTTTGCGTTAGCGAGACCCCCACCGGCGGCCCCACCCCATCGTTGACCACCATGGTTGGGGGGGGGGAGAGGGCAACATGCATCCCCTCTGATTGCTGGAGGGAGACAACAAAGCTATGTTTTTCACAGGGGTGGTAGGAGTAGTGGTAGGTAGGTTGTGAGGTAGTGGGGATGAATTTAAAGAATTTGAAAGATGATGAAAGATTTGAGAGAAGAATGTATCGTAGTTTTTTTTCAAAAGAAAAAAAGAAAATAGACGCTTCATATCTTCTGGTTGATAGGGGCTAGTCGCACAACTCACCCTCCGCCAAGGTTCTCAATGCATTTGGACAGAAAAGTCTGTCCACATTCATTCACAATGTTGGCGGATGGTGAAAGGTGCAACTAGTCCTATACTTAGCACACATGTGACCGATTATGGGCCGCGCTCCACCACTCACCACATGCACACCACATGCACGAAGGACAAAAAATATGGCGGTGTATCTTTTCGTGTTCTAGTGAAAAATTTCATTCTCTGTTTGCAGAATTGGGGAGTGATGGAGTGAGGCCCTATGGGATGTAATGCGACTGCCGACTCAGCTTTTGTTGTTCTCTTGTGTGTTTGATCTTTGAACAGCAAACAAACCATTTGCTGGCTAGCAATCTTCTCTTCCTTCAAGCTTGCTTAGCTTTTGTTTTCTGTCTTCACTTACATTACTTACTTGGGTTATTTCTCTGTATCATTTTTGCCTGTGTGTGTGTGCGTGCGTGTGTGTGTGTGTGTGTGTGTGTGTGTGTGTGTGTGTGTGTG